AGTTCAGGCCTGTGGGACTCTAAAGCTTCCAGCACATCGCGTGATCCTCCACTGTCATAGTTTCCTACTGCTGCTGGAACAAATTACCATGAACTCTGCAGCTGAAAACATCCCAAATTTATTCCCTTACAGTCTGAGGATCAGAAGTTTGAAATGGGTTTCACTGGACTAAAACCAAGGTGTGGGTAGGGCTGTGTTCCTTCTGGAAGCTATATGGGAGAATCCACTTTCTTTCTTTTTCCAGCTCCCAGAGGCCGCCTGCTTCGTTGACTCTTGGCCACCTTCCATCTTCAAAGCCAGCAGCGCTGGCTGAATCTTCCTCACATCATATCCCTGAAAGTTTCTCTGACTCTAACTCCTCTATTCCCATATATCTTCCACATTGAAGGACCCTTGTGATTACATTGGGCTATCTGAGTAATTCAGAAACATCTTAAGGTCCACTGATTAGCAAACTTAATTCCATCCCAACCTTAATCCTCCCTTACCATGTAACCTAACATATTCACAGATTCTGGGGATTTGGAAGTTGACATCTTGGGGGGGGGGGCATTATTATGCCTACTACCCCCCAGTGATGTATGGTATGGTATGGTATGGTATGGTATGGTAGGGTATGGTAGGGTAGGGTATGGTAAGGTATGGTAGGGTAGGGTATGGTAGAGTACGGTAGGGTATGGTAGGGTAGGGTAGGGTAGGCTATGGTAGGGTAGGGTAGGGTAGGGTAGGCTATGGTAGGGTATGGTAGCATAGGGTATGGTAGGGTATGGTAGGGTATGGTAGGGTATGGTATGGTAGGGTAGGGTAGGGTATGGTATGGTATGGTAGGGTAGGGTATGGTAGGGTAGGGTATGGTAGGGTAGGGTATGGTATGGTAGGGTAGGGTAGGGTAGGGTAGGGTATGGTAGGGTATGGTATGGTAGGGTAGGGTATGGTAGGTTAGGGTAGGGTATGGTATGGTATGGTATGGTATGGTAGGGTATGGTAGGGTAGGGTAGGGTATGGTAGGGTAGGGTAGGGTATGGTAGGATATGGTATGGTATGGTAGGGTAGGGTATGGTAGGGTAGGGTAGGGTATGGTATGGTAGGGTATGGTAGGGCATGGTAGAGTATGATATGGTAGGGTATGTAGGGTAGGGTATGGTAGGGTGTGTATGGTAGGGTATGGTAGGGTAGGGTAAGGTAGGGTAGGGTAGGGTAGGGTATGGTAATGTATTTAGTGGACACCTATTGTTTTTCTTTTCCCAGAATGTTTTCACCCACGTTTTGTTGCATTATCTGCACTTCTCTCTACAAGCTTAGATAGAAATATTACTTGCTTCATGTGTGTCAATTTTATTTTCTCCATTACACTGTAATTCTTCTGAGATCAGAGTTTTTGCCACAGTTCGTGGGACATCCTCCTGCACATCTGGTAGTACCGGGTTTATTATAAGAGCTTCAAAACTATATTCTTTTTTAAATATATATATTTGTATTGATTTCAGAGGGAAAGGGAGAGGGAGAGATAGATAGAAACATCAATGATGAGAATCATTGATTGGCTGCCTCCTGCACGCCCCCTACTAGGGATAGAGCTTGCAACCAATGGAGCTTGTGCCCCGATTGGAATCAAACAGTGACCTCCTGGTTCATAGGTGGATGCTCAACCACTGAGTCACACCAGCTGGGCTTCGAAACTATTTTCTGATTGCCCAGGCCGGTGTGGCTCAGTGGGTTGAGCATCATCCTGTGCACCAGGAGCTGGCCGGTTCCATTCCTGGTCCGGGCACATGCCCAGGTTGCTGGCTCAATACCTGGTGTGGTGAGTGTGGGAGGGAGGAGGCTGACCTATGTTGGGAATGGGTGTTTCTCTCTTCCTCTCATTTCCCTTCTCTTTAAAAATCAATAAAACATATTTAAATTTTTTTTCTGATTTATATGTTCTACTTACATGTCATAAAATAAAAATATAAATAAAACAAAAGTTATGCTTACACATCTTTAATTTTAGCATTTTTCTTGATTCTATTCATAAAATCTATATTTTCCAAGTCTTAAACTTGCACAAAATCTGATATTTTGTAAGATGGAGGCCTTAAAAATAAACAGTTGATCACATGTGTTGCTAGAGTGTCAGGAGCACAAGAATAAGAGTAACTATTAGCAGAGATTGGGCTACATACAACTGACATTTTACTCTCCCCAAATTAGATCAATAGATTTTTAGAAAGGAACAGTCATGCTTAATTTAAATTTGTAAAAAATAAACTTTTAAAGGGAATGCATTGCAGGAAGCCACCCATTGTCTTCACTATCAGAGAAGTGCAAACAAGGATCCCGGAACGCAGGTGAACCTTGAACCCCTGGCAAGGGCCAGAGTTATGTACAGATTGTCTAGTCCAGACAATGGGGGCTCAACCTATTTCCTGATCAAATAGTCTCAAAGTAAATGCTTCTAATATTTACTGACCTTTAAGATAGTCTGTCTGTTACCACAATTACCTGCCTGACTAAGAGCTAGATGTGTATCCAAAGTTGAATAAGAGGTTGGCGAGGCCTGGGCACCAGGGGAAGTCCTTTCTCTTGCATTGGGCTTGCCCGCCTGGCCCCCAATATTTCCAAGTTATTATTTCTTGTCTCATCTCTTTCATTTGCGTACGGCCCCTCCTCCAGATCCCGAACCTTGAACCACACGGGACTTGGGGGAACATTCACAATGCATGAAAAATACAGAGAAATAAAAAAAAATTAACTTTTAAATATATTTCTTTTCATCTCTTGGGGGCATTTTTATGTAGTTAAGATTTACATATGTGTGTGTGTGTGTGTGTGTGTGTACATGTGGCCTGTGTGTGTTTAGTTGTGTATGTGTGCATACAGCTTCGCATAGAGCACAGTTCCCTCCGTGGATCATAATTTGATGGCAGCCAAGGGCTACAGAAATATTCCCTGACAAATGAAACAAATGATGCACTGACCAGAGGGAGGCACCACAGTGTCTTATCTTTCATCACACGTCCATAGAAAAGAAATAATTTTTTTCATTCAGAGACTGTGTTCCTAAGCTAATTAGTACTTTAATCAGATCTAATAACCTTGAGTCCAAAACCTTGGCTATTTTTTTTTTTTTTTTGCATAGATTCTGAGTGCTCCATGGCAGGCACAGTTCTGGGGGCTTTCCATGTGTTAACTAATGCAGTTCTCCCACAATTATATGAAGGTTGTTTGTGGGAGGCAGAATTTTGAAAGATGTTCCTCCCCCCAAGATTCTTCTTCCTGGTCATTCAATCAGAGACAACCTAGGCACTGCTCTGAAGGGAATTTGCAGATGAAATTAAGATTATGGCCCTGATCGGTTTGGCTCAGTGGATAGAGCGTCGGCCTGGGGACTGAAGGGTCCCGGGTTCGATTCCAGTCAAGGGCATGTACCTTGTCTGCGGGCACATCCCCAGTGGGGGTTGTGCAGGAGGCAGCTAATTGATGTTTCTTTCTCATCAGTGTTTCTCTCTATCCCTCTCCCTTCCTCTCTGTAAAAAATCAATAAAATATATTTAGAAAAAAAAGATTATGGACTTTAAGACGGGGAGGTTATCCTGGATTACCTGGGTAAACCCAATGTCGTCATTTGAGACCTTAAAAACAATGTGGTGCCCTAGCTGGCTTTGCTCAGTGGGTAAAGCATCGGATTTCGGACTGAAGGGTCCCGGGTTCGATTCCAGTCAAGGGCACATGCCTGGGTTGCGGGCTTGATCCCCAGTGGGGGGTGTGCAGGAGGCAGCCGATCAATGATTCTCTCTCATCATTGATGTTTCTATCTCTCCCTCTCCCTTTCTGCAATCAATAAAAAGATATTAAAACACACACACGCACACACACACACACACACACACCCCATGTGGTGAAAGAAAGGTGATGCGAATGGGAGGTCAGAGGGATTCCATGTGTGCAGAGGACTTGACCTGCCATTACTAGCTTTGAAGATGGAGAAAGGGGGCCACAAGACAAGAAATGCAGGGGGCCTCTAGAAGCTGAAGCCCCCCCCCCCCCCCCTCCAAAGCCATCAAGGAAATGGCAGCTGCGTGAAACTGCGCTCGGCCCAAACCTGAAAGGGTTTCTCCCCCGGAGCCTCCAGGGGGAACCCAGGCTGTCCTGTCACTTGACCAGAGCAGTTCTAGATTAGAGGAGACTAAGGAGACACCATAACCAATCGCACCCGGTGGCCCTTCATTACGTTGCTGGGTACCGTGCGGAACAGTTCTCCAGAATATTGCTGAGACAACCGAGGAAACTTGCATTTGTCCCATGTGGTTGCTAATATTTTATCAGTTTTAAATTTCCTGAGTGTGATAGTTGTGATTTTTCGGGAGAATGCCCTTGTTCTTGGGAGATACATGCTCAAGGACTTAGGGACAATGTGTCATCATTACTATGTATGTAACTAGGGCTAAAGCAAATGTGTAAAAATGTTAAGTGGGTGAGTCTAGATGGAGCATGGAGTGGATTTGCGACGAGTAGGAGGGAAGCGGGAAGCCCAGACGGGGCGCTATTGCTGCGGTCAGGATGGCAGCGGGGATAAAGCACCCCCCCACCCCCCAGGGAGCCCTGGGAAGGAAACCCGAGTGACGAAAGCTGATTATTAACTATAGTTCCCACAACTTCTCCCTCGTAAAACGAACTTCTGTGGGGAAGGGGGTGCGGCTTTCTCGCCGCTGGCCAATTTGATCGGGATCAATTACTCGCGCCAGCCACTAGCTTGCGCCTGCGCAGAGGGAGCTGTGCCCCCCTCATAGGAAGAGTCCACATCTACAGCGCTAGTAGGGGGAGACGGCACCCTAAAGTTCTATGTTCTCCCATAGCAGGGTATAGCCTACATACTGGTAACAATATTCCTAGAGTAGTTAATTTTTTCTGACTATATTCCTTAAAACTAGTTTTTAATTGATCATATGGGTGAGTTACACAAAAATGTTTGTTTGCTGCTCCCCCACGCCGATGCGTGCGCCAGGCCACCCGGGCCGGGAAGAGGAAGCGGAAGTGGTGGTAGCTCGGGGAGCGTGCACCTGAGTCGGTGGTGCAGAGCCCTGGACGCTTGCCATGGAGGGGTCAAACGAGCCGGCTCTGGATGCTAAGGCCAAGGTAAGCCCTGGGCTAGAGGCAGCTGGGGAGGCGGACCTCTGGTGCGAGAAAGGTCCTTCCCTGAATTGTTTTTTCTGCTTCCGTTTCAGGTCACCAACCAGGTGAGTGAGTGGCAGCCCCGCCCGGTCCTCGCTGGCCTCCGCGGGTAAGGGGCGGGCCGCCGCTGGCCCGCCTTCGGCCTTGGGAACCCGGGCCGATGCGCCGTGAACCTTCCCCAGCTTCCCCCGCAGTCCAAGGCCTGTGTCCGCAAGCCGGTCACCTTCGTCCCCCAACCTGCGTTGCCCCGCACTGCTCCTTCCTCTTTGCACCTGAGATGGTAGCCACTGCCTGCTGCCATCGTCCTTTAACCTCCCCACCCAGCCCAGCCGAAAGAGTTCAGGCCAAGTATTCTTGTTGATTAGGTCCCATTTATTCGAAATCAGTTGCACAGTACTTTTTAATATTTTTATTGCCTTGTAGGGAGAGGGGAAGGGAGATAGAGAGGAACATCGATAAGATTGAAACATCCAGCTGAGAGCTCTCCATCGGCTGCCTCCCGCACGCCCTCTACTGGGGATTGAGCCGCAACGCCTGCATGTGCCGTGACCTGTAATCTAACCAGCAGCATCTTGGTGCATGGGTCCATGCTCAACCACTGAGCACGCGGGGCTAGGTACACAATATTTCAGGATGATTATTGAGGGAATAAATTACAAAAATTTACAAAGATAGAACCGCAAACATTTTCTTAGTCTTAAAGACTAGTTATTTTGAGAATGGAGAGTATACCTCTTTAATCTTACTATGTGTGTACAGGGTGTCCCCCAAAAATGTAAACACAGTTTAAGAGCTGATAGCTCCAATTTTTGTTGTTGTTGTTGTTTTGTTAATCCTCACCCGGGGATATTTTTCCATTGATTCCATTGGAAGGGAGGGGGAGAGACACAGAGAGAGAAACATTGATGTGAAAGAGATACATGGATTGTTTGCCCCCCCACCCCCCCAATATATACGCCCTGACCAGAGCCAGGGCTGGAGCCTGTAGCCGAGGTTCGTGCCCTTGACCAGAATCTAACTCGGGACCCTTTAGTCCGCAGGCTGATTCGCTATCTCTTGAGCCATACTGGCTAGGGTTGATAGCTGAATTTTGAAAATGAAATGTATTTTAATAAACACTGCCTTTATAATTGTTCAAAGTGTGTGTATGCATTTTTTGGGGATACCTTATATATTTATACTCAAATAAGAATTTGAATTCTTAGCTATATCTTAATCCTGCTTCTTTGTTACAAGTGTTCTTGTTCTATTTTAGCTAATACACTGTTTTTAGACAAATAACTTATAACACACTTCCCAGAAGAAGAGTACTAAAACGATATTGTTTTAGGTCAGGAGTCACCCAGATCCATACAAAATACTATAAGAGATGAAATGAGAAAGAATGAGAATACAAGGGGCTGAGAGATGACCACTGACTGCTTTGTGTCATTTGTCTCCAATTGATCTTGCTGTTTGTTGTTTTTGAGGATTCCTGGGTGGTAGGGAGGACTCAGAGAGACAGTAATCAACACTCTTGTCTGGCTTTGCTCAGAGTTACTGGGTTAGTGCACTTGGATTCAGTCTTTCATAACTCATTTTATCCATTCACTTACACTAAATCACCTTGATTTGCGTAAGATATCTTGAAACGAAATCATACTAGATTATAAGGTTTTAAAAATTGAACCTTTTTATTGGGAGGGGAGTACTGTTTTTTAAAACAACACAAATTTATCAACGTTCTGGAGGTCAGGAATCTAAAATTAGTGTCGTAGGACTAACAAGGTTTGGGCAGGGCTGTGGAACCTCTGGAGGCTGTTGGGGAGAATGTGTTTTCTTGCCTTTCCAGCTGGAGGCTGCTCACAGTCCTTGGCTTGTGAGTTCGACCTCCATCTTCAAAGCACATCATTCTAACGTCTGCTTCTGTTGTCGCTTCTCTTTCTGCTGCTATCACCGTTGTGTTACCTTCTCTGACTCTGACTCTCCTGCCTCCCTGTTATAAGGACTTTGTGATTACACTGGGCCCACATGTATAATCCAGGAAACACTTCACCTCAGGATTCTTAATGTAGTCATATCTACAAAGTCTGAGATTCAAACTCCTGTCTGTCTGACTTTAGAATCTGTGCTTATTAAATTTAACAAACCGTGGTGCTATATTGCCCAGCACTAGAGGTCTAAGAGTATCTGTTACTTCACATTCTGATATTTAGAATCATTTTTGAAGTAATTCATGACTCTTACATAGATGTCTAATTAGAACTCTTCGTAGATGAATGATTGTTCCTATTGCTGCCACATTTTATTTTCTTGCCAGTTTTATGGTATAAATGAAAAGAAGTATGTTGTATTGACACAATACCTAGTGCCATTTTCCCTCTTCCGATATATAAGAAATAATGACTTAAATTTTGTACAGTGTATATGGTGCTTCATAAATGTGTGACTGTTTTTGTTCTATGTATTGTGTTGGATGTCCCAGCTGCCCTCAAGGCATTTATAGTACAGTGAATGGGGGAGAGAAACATACCCACAGATGACTGGTGTACACAGCAACATGTTCTAAGTGCTAGGGTAAAAGAAGTGACACAGAACATTCATAGGAAGGCTGAGTAAACCAGGAAAGACTTCGCAGAATGGGTAGAATATGAGAGGAGTTTTGAATTTTAAGATGTTTGAGAGTTGAATGCCAAGAGGCATGAACAGCATGAGGAAAGCTGTAAAGGTTGAAAGTTACTGTAAAGAAGGGATGCAGTGTGAGTACAAGTGGGAAAGCTCTTCAGGATTTCCATGACATGACTTTAGTGCTAGGTGAATGGTTGGTAACTAGCTCTTGGGGCAGCAGACTTTACAGGTTTGGACCAGTTGTATTAGAATTTGTTAATCTATACGCACTGTTTGGAGTCTGTACTCTGGATTGGAGCCGAGAAAGACTATAGAGAAGAAACTAATTCGGAGACTTCAGTGAAATTCAAGGCAAGATTTTAAAAATGGGCTTAAAGTAGGTTTGTAACAGTGAGATTGGGAAGACGGGAATAAATGTGAGTGGCATTGACTGAAATGAAATCTTGAGTACCTAGCAATTCATACATGTTTTGAATAAGGGGGAGAGAAAAATCAAAGTTGACTACAGTTCAAATGTGAGTCACTAGGAAAGTAGGGGCCATCAGTAGAAATGAAATGAGGATGAAAAACATTTTTGAGGAAAGATGATATGTTTGGCGTTGCTGGGGCACTAGTAGTGAATGTGTTTAATGGGAAAGATTTTATTTTATTTTTTAGTATTATTTTTACTGGGTGTATTAACATCTAAGAGGTAACTGGTTACCTGTAATATTTTTTCGTTATTTGTATTTGCAAAAATTTCTATAAACTAATGTAGTTCAGATTATATAGTTATGAGAATACATTTTTGGTAAATCATAGATCATAATAAGCTTATTGATAAAGTTATTTTCTGCCAGTTGCTCTATTGCTGCACAACAAACTACCCAAAACTTAGTTGATTGAAACAACTATTATTTCTTAGAACTCTGTGGGTTAACTGGGTTTAGCTGAGTTGTAGTTTCTACTCCCTAACGTTTCAACTACAGCTTTAGTCACCTAGGAGCCTAATTGGGCCGGAAGTCAAGAGGACTCACTCACATGGCTCAGTGATGACCTTGGCTGAGAGCTCAGCTAGAGCTGGTAATGGGAGTGACTTGGTTCTCCTTCACATGGCTGTGCACATCAATGGTGGCTGGGTTCCAAAAGGCAGTCCCAAGAGCCAGCGTTCCACGAAGAAGGAGGCAGACACTTCCAATTCTCCTAAGGCCCATGCTTGAGGATTCCAGAAAGTCTCTGCTGCCATATTCTGCTGGGACAGCTCGGGTTCTTGTAGAGGGAAAATAAGCTCTTTTTTTTAAAAAAAAAAAACACACACGTTTTTATTGATTTCAGAGAGGAAGGGAGAGGGAGAGAGAAATAGGAAGATCAATGATGAGAGAGAATCATTGATGAGCTGTCACCTGCATGCCCCCTAATGGGAATTGAGCCTGATCCTTAATTGAACTGATAACCTCTTGGTTCATGGGTCGATGGCTCAACCACTGAGCCACACCGGCCAGCAAAGCTCCATTTCTTGATGTGAGGAGCATCATGTACATATACCAATTTTTAGAAGCTATCTTTGGAGACTAACAGAGGTTCTAAACATATTAACTCAATAAATATTTATTAGAACATTCACTTTGTACCAGGTATTCAGTAGATTCAGTACTAAACTAGGTTGATAATGCTCCTGCACTCTTGAAGGTTGTATTTCCTTTGGGAGACAATTGATAAATAAACATGATAATTTCAGGTGATGATAAGTGCTATTAGGAAAATAAAGCGAAGTATGGAGAAAGGTGCCATTAAACAAGATAAGGGAAGCTGGTGACTTAGCAGATGTTTACCTGAGCTAGAGCCAATATGAATTCTCAAGTAGAAATTGCTAATCACTCATGCCTTAATCAGTTTCCACATATACGTTAATGCAAGTCCATAGAACTTTTTGCAATGATGGAAATGTTCTATATTGGCACTGTCCACTGTGGTAGCACTAGCCTCATGTGACAGGTGAGCACTTGATATATAGCTAGTGCAACTGAGGAACTGAATTTTTTATTCTATTTTTAATTTATTTAAATAGCCACATTTGGCTAATGGCTACTGTTGGACAGCTCAGGTCTACCATGTAGAAGATGCTAAACATTCTTGTCCCAATCTACTTTCTTGACCTACTAGAACTTAGTTTCATTCCAAATAGTAATCATGTTGCAGCTAGGTATAATAAAAAGTGTGTGGAGTATGGAATCAGGCAAATGTGGTGTAGAACACCAGCTCTGCTAGTTTTGTGTCCTTGGATGAGTTGTTTGATCAGTCATTTCCTCATAGCACTTCTGAGAGAGATTAATGTGTGCAGAACACTTAACATTCTTTCCATTTGAAAACATCGATTTAAAAGGAAGAGAACATAAAAATATCTATTTTGTGACTCTAGCTATAAAAATTACAGATAAAGACTTGAAATGGGGGCACAGAAATAAGAAAATAGTTTTCAGGAGAGAGTTGTGAATGATTATTTTTCTAATTTTCTCCTGGGTTGTGTTTTGAAAAATAAAAATGAAATTTAAATAGAAATGGTCTTTAGCAATTTTATCTTCATCAATTTTACCTTTTACTCTACATTTGCTTTCTGATTATTTTTCTTCTGTGTATTCATTTTACTTCAAGATGTTTTTTCCCCCCTACTAACTTTTTTCTTTGTAAATTATTTTCTTCATTCTCTAAGAATTTTAAGGCTACATTACTTCATTCTTAATATTCTCCATAGTGATAAGTGTGCTCTGTTTTGATTTTTTTTTTTTTTAATATCCCATGCACTTAATTTTTATTTAAGGCTAAACTACACTTTTTAGTAGGTTTGCGTTTAATTTTCATTTAAGTGTTCAGTTTAGAATTTGGGAGATTCTCATCCCATAAACCTAACCCCAGCTTTCTTTGACCCATGAATACTAACTTGGCCCAATAAGTGAATGGCAGCTCTCCTCATTTTCTCACCTGCCAGTTTCACCATTGTAATGGTCAGCGGACTCCACCATTGTGTTCCTTAATTGCTTTTCTGCTTGAGATGATTCAGAGTTTTATTTCAGGCTTTGAGAGTCACATAAGCAGTGTTTTACTCTACCATTTTACTGTGGACAATAAAAAATGGAACTTCTTACACCAAGGAGATGTATAGGATGAATAAGTTTAAAATGGATCCAGTTATATTTTTGGACATCACCATTGAACTGATATAAAATATCTGTCTCTAATCATGAACCCCTTGAATAGTGTTCTCGGATTTTTAGCCACTTATTGAACATGTTTATTTAGATGTTCCTTCTCACTTCTTGGTAATACCTTTGTACCTAAAATATATAAAGTCCTGGTTGATACATGATATCAGAATTCTCCCAGTCATCTGGGCTCACATTTTTATAGTTGTTTTTCTTTGATATCTCCCATAACTGTAGATAATCATCAGTACCTAGTGATTCATTCTTCAGAGGTTCAGCTCAATCCTACCTGTCACCACCTTCATTCAGGCATTTAAAACTTTATACTTGGATTATTGTATTTTGCTGCCACCAGATGAATATTTTTTAATCAATACACTATATCATTCTCTGTGAATCCCTATTGCCTACAGGAAAAGTTTAAATGACTTATATGATAGATTGTTTTCCATAATAAGATAGAGTACCTGAGAGTATTTTGGAAACCTCTGAAAACTCATATAATTTGTAAAGAATTAGTGGCCTTTTGATCACCTTTCTTGGCTTTATTTTCCAAACTTCCTTATAAAAGCCTTCCAGTTTAAGACAGGTAAATATGTTCTTCCTTAACCAGATTTATTTTTCTTTTTATCTCTGGTTGGTTCAGCTTAATATTTATTAGGCACTTATTCTTTGGTAGGCGTGTATTTACGGAATATATAAATAAGACACATTTCCCTCTCAATTTCAGTTCTTTTTATTCTTCAAACTGAGTTTAAAGTTATCCCTTCTATAGCGTTATCTCTTGATCACCCAGGCCTACAATAACTTTCTCTTTTCAACCAGGAACTCACTGACTTATATCCCACTCTGCTATATGTGCAAAATAACATATATACAAAACATATAGACAGGTTAATGAATTATTTTAATTTTTCCAGTTTTATTGAGATATAATTGACATAGAGCACTGTATATAAGTTTAAAGTACACCACATAATGACTCCACATACAGATATTGTGAAATGATCACCACAATAAATTTAGTTAACCTTCATCTCATAAAGTTATAAAAAAAAGAGTAATTTAAATTTGAGTATCTGTGTTACTACAATCAAAACTCAAGAAATGGAACATTACCAGTCCTGGAAGTCTAACCACATGGCCCTTGGCAATCAAACCTCTTCCTTCCTTCCTGTCCTTTTGTGATAATCATATTGTCGCTTCTCATAGTTTTGCCATCTAGTTTTGCATTCCTAAACTATTATATTTCCCGTTTCTCAAGTTAAGTGAATTCATCACATAATTTTACTCGTTTCAGCATTTTTGGTGTTAAGTGTAGCTGAAGTTCATTAATTTTCATTGCTGCATTTCATTGTCCATTCTAATACTGATGTACATTTGAGTTATTTATAATTTAGGGCTATAATGAATAAAGCTACCAGAAACATTCTGATATCCTGTGTACACATGCACAAGTTTTTCTAGGTTGTATTCGTAGTTGAATCTCTGGATAACAGGGCGTGCATACTTTCAGCTTTCCTAGGTAAAGCCATTTTTTCAAAAGATTGGCCCAATTTAGAATCCCATCAACAGCGTATGATACACCTTTTTTCCTAATACTTAGAATTGTCAGACTTAAAATTTTGCCATATTGGTACATGTGTAGTGGTATTTCATTGTGGTTTAAAATTGCATTTCCCTGTTTCCCTTTTATATGTTTATTCATTGGTAATTCTTTTGTTATATACCTACTATCCTTTTTCTATTTTTGTGTGGGATGCTTTTATTTAAAATGTACCTATACAATCTTTTTACTTATTAAATACATTAACCTTTTATGAACACCAACCTGACCTTAATGCTGTAGCTGATTGGTCCAAAGCAGTTAAGGAAATTTTGGTTCTCACACCAATCCCACCTTTTAAAAAGAAATTTATTAACAAGCAAAGCTTTTACACAGTAAGCATTAATTTGGTAGCAAAAGGTATCTGTCAGTAGACAAGTATTTTTTTGTGAGTGCCTGCTAATTCATCCACTCATGGCCATATATTTTATTTATTTACTTTTAATTTTTAACATATTTTTATTGATTTCAGAGAAGAAAGGAGAGGGAGAGAGAGAGAAACATCAATGATGAGAGACAATCATTATTGAGCCAGAAACCTGGGCATGTGCCCTGACCTGGAATTGAACCATGACCTGGTTCATAGGTCAGTGCTCAACCACTGAGCCACACTGGTTGAGCCAGGGTCATATATTTTAGAGTCATTATTAAGAGCTGCATTTATCCAACCTTGTTTTATGCCATAGCAACACTGAACAATCATTGACAGGAATTAGCTAAAAAGTACTGAGGCAGCCAGTAGTCAATAAGCATGTAATCTTTGGAGTCAAACAAACTTTGGTCCAAGTTCTGATTCTAGAAATATGTGACCTTGTGCACATTATCCAGGCTATCTAAAATTCAGTTGTGTGTCATCTGCAAAATGGAAATAATAGCCTAGAATGTTATGATGATTCAGTAAGGCATTTAAACATTTAAATTGCATAGCACATCACCTGGCAGGTGTCCATTAACAATGGTGATGAAATTTAAACTACCTATCACCCAGTATTTATGCTAATGCAAGGTTTCAGGTTGAGGATCATGGTGAGGAAGGAAACTGGAATGGTTCCCATGTGTGCCTCAGTCAAATAGGAAAAGGGTATATAACTCATTCTCCATTTTAGGACTTTTAGGTTATGGAATGGGGGAAGGCATATATAATAGAAAAGAGGTAAGAGACACCAGAGCATTTGGAGGCCCCTTAAATGCAGAAGCAAAATTAAAGGAAAACTAGTACTGCCACATCTTCCTTCTGCTTTCAATACACACCTGTGGAGATTTTTTTGTTTTTCCTTTTGTAATTATGATAGTATTTTTTATTTTTTATTTTTATTTCAGAGAGGGAGAGAGATAGACACATCAGTGATGAGAGAGAATCACTGATTGGCTGCCTCCTGCACGCCCACTACTCGGGGTGGGGGGGGGATCTAGCCCGCAATCCAGACATGTGCTCTTGGCAGGAATTGAACCTGGGACCCTTTAGTCCGCAGGAGGAGGCTCTATCCACTGAGCCAAACCGACTAGGGCACAGTATTGTTTTCTAACTCTGTCTATATCCCTTATTGCCTCTCCATTTTCATTTGGTGGTTGTGCCTCCAGCAATATTAGGATAAAGATGTTTTCTTTAACTATGATTGACAAAAGTTGAATGTGAGAGCAGTAAAATTAAATAAATATCTGAATTCAGAGCAATATTATTACCAATGTATTGTTTTGTACTGTTTCATTACAGCTTGTAGATTTTCAGTGGAAACTGGGTATGGCTGTGAGCTCAGACAGTTGCAGATCACTTAAGTATCCTTATGTTGCAGTGATGCTAAAAGTGGCAGATCATTCAGGCCAAGTAAAGACCAAGTCTTTTGAAATGACAATTCCACAGTTTCAGGTTTGTGATTTAATTCAGTCAATTGTAGCTCATTGTTCTGTCATTGCTGCTTAACATTATGTATAAAATCTTAAGGGGGGATATTAATTGTTTTTATTTACAATTGTTTTGATGTGCTTTCTATTTATTAGTATACAAGATCTGAATTTGTTTTCTCTGGGAATTTGATAAGTTGTTTTCAATATAATATGCTGAATTTGTGTACTGTATCATTTGATCACTTTCACAGTAGTCTTCTGTAATATATTTAGAAAGTTTTCATTTTCTCTCGCAGGATATTTACTTTGCTTTTAACTGTTTTATTCTTTTTAAGTTTAATATTTGAGAATGATGAGCTAAATGAATCTTATTTTTAATAGTGTTAACCTTGAATCTTCTGACTAATAATGTTTATAAAAAGCAGATCAGAACACTAATACTTGCTGATTAGTTCTGTTAGATAGAGATTTGAGTATCTGAATTGTTTATATTTGGAGTCCTGTTAGTCATATTAGCATTCTACCTGTTTTCTATAAGGAAGGAAGAAAAAAGAGGGTAGATGAGAAATTACATTTTTTTAAAAATGTACATACAGGGAAATGTGTTGTCATTAACTACTTTAACTGGTCTTAGGGTTTTGTTTTTGTTTTTTTTATTTCAAGCTGAGTGAACAGATAAGAATCTTCACAGCAGTTAGTACTCCTAAGAAAACGCTCTCATAAGCCACTTTTGAGTTTTTCTTTTACTTTTTCCCCTCAGATTTATTAAGGTATAATTGACAAATAAAAATTGTATATATCAAAGGTGTACAAGGCGATATTTTGGTTATATGCACATTGTGAAATGATTACCACAATCAAGCTAATTAAACTATGTCACCTCACTTAATGTGTGTCTGTATGGTGAGAACACTTAAGATCTGCTCTCCTGGCAAATTTCAAGCATATAACACATTATTATTAACTGTAGTCACCATGATGTACATTATGTCTCCAAAACTTACTCATCTTATAACTGAAAGTTTGTAATTTGACAAACATTTCCACATTTTCCCCACTCCCCAGTCCTGATAACCAGTCTACTCTCTGTTACTATGAGTTCCACTTTTTTAGATTGCATATATAAATGAGAGCAGGCGATATTTGTCTTTCTTGTCTTCTGGCTTGTAGGTTCATTCATATTGTCAAAATAGCAGGATTTCCTTCTTTCTAAGGGTGAATAGTATCCTGTTGTGAATGTATGTATATGTATTTATATATCATATGTATAAATATTTTTATATTGTATATGTTTTTATATATCACATTTTCTTTATCCCTTCATCTGTCAGCACACACTTAGGTTGCTTCTATACCTTGGTTATGGTGAATAAAGCTGTAATGAACATATGAGTGCAGATATGTCTTTGAGATAGTGATTTTATTTCCTTTGGAACAGAAGTGGGGTTGCTGGATCATATGGTAGCTCTGTTTTACAAATTACATTTTAAGGTTTTTTCCTCCTTTTGATTTCTTTCTTTTAAAACTGATATCTCTGCTTTAAAACGAAAAAGAATGGTCACAGATTCAGCATTAATAATGCTAATTAATATCTTAATGGAATTAGGACTTCATTAAAAAGGAAATAAATATAGTATATTGTGATTTGTGAGTAGCCTTCAACTGAATAGAAGAACCCCTTCAATTTCAAAAGAGAATATAGATTTCAGTTCTTTTTATAATTCAGAATCTTATTCTTATTTTTCTGTGTAGCCTTTATATGCTCTGATTCCACCTGCAGAATTTTTTTTTCCTCATAGGAAAAACACACACAAATGGGGCAACTCTTTTAAAGTTAGTTTTTACATGTCTTAACATCTAATGAGGAAAACAGAGCCCGTTAGTCAAATTACAGGACTGAAACCTTGGCAACATTCTTTGAGCTTTCAATTTATATCTTTTATTGTAGCTGAAATTTTGACCTTGACTTTTACAGAGAGAAGGGAAAGGGAATGAAAGAGAGAGAGAAACATTGACATGAGTGTGAAACATCAATCTGCTGCCTCCTGCACAAACCTTCCTACCAGGATCCAGGCCCACAACCAAGGCATGTACCCTGACTGGGAATTGAACAGGCAACCTATCGGTGCATAGACTGGGCCCAGCCAACCGAAGTTTTCCTATATAAAACCCTAATATGCAAATCAACCTAACGGTGGAATGACAGGTCACTATGATGAAAACTGACCACCAGGGGGCAGACACTCAACGCAGGAACTGCCTCCAGTCAGCAGGCCCCAACTGGCAGTTGCCGGGGTCCCCTGATGGCCCTGCAAATTGGCCCTGATCACTGGCCAGGCCTAGGGACCCTACCGGTGAACGAATTCTGTGCACCAGGCCTCTAGTCTATATAATAAAGGCCTAAGTGACCATTACGGCGGAACAACCAGAACGACTGGTTGCTATGATGTGCACTGACCACCAGGGGGCAGACGCTCAACTCAGGAGCTGCTTCCTGGTGGTCAGTGTGCTCCCACAGGGGGAGTGCTGATGAGCCAGAAGCCAGGTGCACGGCTGGCAAGTGCAGCAGCAGTGGCAGGAGCCTCTCTCGCTTCTACTGCATGCGGGCTGTAAGGAGCGAGGGGTCCTGGACTGCAAGAACCCCGGACTGCGAGAGGGATGTCCAACTGCCAGCTTAGGCCCGATCTCCCCTGAGGGGTCTCGGACTGCGAGAGGGCACGAATTTCGTGCACCGGGCCTCTAGTCGGTATATATTTTGAAAGAAATAGTCACATCCTTCTCATTCCATAATCAATTTACATGTAAATTAAAACAAAATACACTCTTAAGTACCAGTAGAGAGTTAAAACTAAAAAAGAAGGAAAAGGCAAATGTGTAAATCATTTTTGCTGAGGTTAAATTTTAAATTTGCCTCCCTACTTCCTGGCAGGTTGAAGAGAAGGAAGACAGAATATGTTTGATCCCTTTCTTATCTAAATTTGAAAAAAGAAGATGACTTCTACAGGAGAACGATCAGACTAGCTCAATTTTTAAATGAAAGAAAAATAAGCTCCTATCATTTAAGCCATTGTCAATGTTGGGTCTCTCATAGTGCAATTGAATCCATATCTGAAACAAAACAGCCCTTATCACCCTGGACTGCAGTCTTTCACTAGATGTAAAGTGATTTGAGGCTTGGGAACCAACCTGTCATTTTTTGTTATTTTTATCTTCAGTGTCTAAGACAGTGCTGGCTAGTTAATGAACCTTTCTGGTGTGATCTCAAAAGAACTTTCTTGTATACTTTTTGAAAAGTTTAGTTATGTGCTAGTTATCCAACTCTGCAATATTTTTGCTTATAGTACCAAATTATGCCTCTTTTTTTTTTCCTCAGAGTAACCTTCAATAATAGTTCAGAATATCACATTCACATATAATCTTATTGTTATATAGCCTCTGGTGGTCAGATATTATTACCTCTGAAAGTAAAATTAACATTATTTTTCTCCTTTCCAGAATTTCTACAGACAGTTCAAGGAAATTGCTGCAATTATTGAAACTGTGTGAAAACTGATTGCTTGGTTGGTAAATTGCTACCATCGTTCTAAAATCATGGACTTCACGTTCTGCACTCTAACTGTATGAGGATCAGATGACTTTTTTATTGAAAGAAAATTGTACTTTTGTTTTTCCATTTTTTTAATAAAAAAACTAGACACACAGGAATTAGATAAGTGATCAGTGCACTTATAGATGTGAATGTACTAAAAGCCACTGAATTTGTTATCAGCAGAAGTGGAGTTCTTGGGGTGCCATGGGGAAAACAATTTTCTGAGGCCCACTCGGGAGGATGGGGTTTCATGGAAAACTTTATTGATGATGTAAAATTCAGGGGGTTCTCCTCCAAGGTCCCATCCACCATGGAAAAAGTCCAGTCATATCTTCAGCAGGGTCAGGGTTAAGGCCACTGCCCAGTTTCCACTCCATATGAAAATCCAGTCCAGTCCAGCATCTGGCTAGCTTAGCTCGTGTTCCCAGCTGCACTCCATTGTGTGTGGGGTCTGCACTGCCCTGAGCCCTGTGGCTATGGAGAGGAAATAGGTGTGTGCACAGGCGAGTGCAGGTCATGGAGCAAGAGACAGAGAGGGAATAAGAAGCACAAGAGAGAGGGAACTCTGTCTGAGGATTTTATCCTTCCAAGATTTTGTGTGCTTGCAGTGGCTCTGCCCTCCTAGCCAAATTATCTTTTTTTCAGGCTAGTATGACAGGCAAGCTTCTTCGCTGCATCACCCTGGCTTCACTGCACATGTGCCCATGTCCCCCTTTCTTCGGTCCCTTCCCCCAGTGATCTGCAGGGAATGGACCTGTGCTTCCCTGGGGAAGGTGAAGCTGTAGCTTTTTGGTGAAGCTGCCCAGATGACCATGCTTATAATGTCTGGCCTCCTGTCCTTTTCCCATTATTAATATTAACTAGCTAGTTGTGATGACAACAAACCGAACACTTTAAAGGGAGAACTCAGTGGTATGTGAATTACATATCAATAAAAAATAAATAACAATGATTGAAAACATTGAGAAGGATGACATTACTTTATAAATTCAGTAACACAGTGTTCAATTACTATAAAAACAATCAGTGAGAAGGGTGAGTTTGCTCTCAAACATTTGAAATCAGGTTAGGATCGACCATTGTTTCCTTATATTAGCCACGCATTCAATTATTTGTTATTAATTTTTATAGAAAGTTCAAATACATGCCCAGAGATAGATAAGTTTTATTCTGAGTTCTGTTTACAACTGAGTTAACCTGTTAGGAAAGTTAACATTTTACATGATCTTTGTTGAATTGATAAACCAATTGTTAAAGTATTTTATATGAAGCCACAGCAATCAACACATATGGCATTGCTTAGGAATGGGCAAATAGATCACTGGAATAGACTAGGTGGCCTACAAATAGATTAAGACATTTTGGGCAAGGATGGTATTTCAGCTAGGTGGGAAAATGTGACTATATATGATACTAGCACAGTTATAATATTTGCAAAAATAAATTCCAGATTAATGAATTAAATAGAAAAGATAAAAATTAGAAGTCTTAGGGAATATTTATGTTAACTGAGGCTTGGGAAGATAGAAACCCCATAGCTATAATTTAAAGCAAATGTATTTGAAAATAAAAATTAAACATTTATTTGTAGAAAAATAATGGGCCATATACAAAGACAAAAGACAAACACTAGGTTGATATGTAAGTTAGTGCTTTAAGTATTTCACTTAGGAAGAGAGTTTAACAAGAAATTAGACATTCACTAAACTGTCAGAAAGACTGAGGAAACAAGGCAGGAGAGATGGCTGGCTTTAGAAAGTCCGGTAGTGCAGGAATTTCAGGGAAGGCCACTGCCAGCAATCGGCACAACGCAGCTCATCACCTGGAAGTCACTGTACCACGTGCTATTCTGCCATCTGTCCATGCGGGCCTCTCATTATGTGAAAGTTAAGCCAGGACCCTGCTGACACAAATTTAGCCAACTGAATTTCCGGGTTTTTAGTGCCTATAAAGGGTAGATTTAGAAAGAAGAATGGTGCTGAGTGTTTTGACTGCTGGCAGAACTAGGACTTGTGGTCTTTTTGCAAAGTGATTACACACACACACACACACACACACACACACACACACACACACACACAGAAATTTCACAGTCCAGGAATATATAATTTGCAATAAAACCACCAATATAAAGATATTTGGCAAAATTGTCGAAATGCTCATCTATTATGCCTGGGCCTATAGGAAGACTGCATTTCCCAGCCTCCCTTGCAGTTAGTTTGGGATCACATGATTGGGTTGTAGCCAATCGGTTTGGGGCAGAAGTGTCTGAAGGCACATCCAGCCTTCCTCACCAATCCTTCCTTGTCATCCTCCAAGCCCTCTCCCATCCTGGCTGCTGGTACGAAGGACTGTAAAACAGCAAAAAGAAAGTGGATCCCAGAAGCACCACTGGAGGCAAACTGCAAGAACACTCTGACTTGAGCGGACAGTAGTGTCAGCGAGAAACAAACTTTTATTGTAAGCTGGTGAGCTTTCTGGATACCACAAAATATATCTATGAAGATTTTTATTGTAGTATTTCCAGTGCAAAAAGTAAAGGAAGCAGCCAAGAATACATGTCAGGAAATGGTTAAGTAAATTTGGCATATCTATGCTATGGAATGTCATATAGCTGCTAAGATTTGCCTCTGGGATATTATCAATATTGTACATATTACTGTGGCATATAAAATTTTGTAAAAATACATCCATACAGCCCAGCTGGTATGGCTCAGTGGTTGAGCATCGACCTATAACCCAGGAAGTCATGGTTCGATTCCCCGTGAGGGCACTTGCCTGGGTTGTGGGCTTGATCCCCAGTGTGGGGTGTGCAGGAGGCAGCCGATCAATGATTCTCATCATTGATGTTTCTATCTCCCCCTCTCCCTTTTTCTCTGAACTAAATAGAAACATATTTTTAAAAATGCATCCATACATTTGAACACTGAATGGAAAATTAAGAGAGGCATGGAAGGAAGGCTATCGGGTTAGAAGCCCTGGTGGAGATGGTATCTAGAGAAGGAAAGGAAGAATTGTTAAAACATTTTTTCTTGTTTTAAGTCCATGATGTATTCTAAAAAATATGTTATGGTTTTAAGACTTTTTTAAAATAGATTTTTAGAGAGAGAGAGACAGACATCGATATGAGAGCAGTACATTGATCGGCTTCCTCCTGCACGCCCCCTACCAGGAATCAAGTTCACACCTGGGCATGTGCCTTGACTGGGAATCGAAAAGGCAACTTTTCGGTGCATGAGATGATGCCCAACCAACTCAGCCACACTGACCAGGGCTGTGCTATGGTTTTAAAAAATACTTGGAAATACATTATTATTTTTTTTAAATACTTGGTTTTAAGTTGCTTTTGAAAAGCTCTTACAGTTTTTTAGTGATATAATGTTTTCTTATTTCTTTTAATTTAACAAATGTGTGATGTTTATGAAACAAAATGATTTCTAAAGTGCCTCCTCAAACCAGGATAGACAAACCTGAAACACATCAAACATAGGCCTTGCTGTGCTTTAAAAATGGTGGCTCCAGCTGGGTCTAACATTTTGGTTGGCACCCCTCTGAGAAACTCCATTGCTACCTCTTACCTGTTTCCTCTTCTGATCCTCCACTTTGGAAATGGATGTCCTTTTCACTTCCCGTCAGCTGGCCCGCAGGTCTACTATTAAGCCTACGTTCTTTCTTTGTCCTCTGCTAGGTAGCACACTGCTGTGAGGAGCTCAAGTCCAAGGTCTGCTGCTGCCCACCTGGGGACTGATGTCCCACCAGCTTGACGAGGTAGCTAGCTGCTCATTCGGGCTTACCAACTGCCACCAGGCGTATCCTGTTACCCACCCTCTGGGTAGTAGCACATTACTGATTCTAAGACGGAGGAGTCACGTCCCCTTTCTATTTCTTTTTCCATCCTGTTGAGCACCAGTTTCATTGTATACCCAGAAATCACAGGAGAAACCCTCCCACCCCCCACCCAGCCTGAGTGAAAACAACATACTTGCCTTCCCAGACTGTGCATAGGGTCTCCATCTACCACCCATCCCAGTCAATGCCTTCCAATCTCCTCCCTTTCCACATTTACAGTATTTAAGGTTATATGCAGAGGCCCAAAGTGAGCTCCTGGCTCAAACACTTCCAGTGATGGAATTAATCTGAATACATTTAAGTTGTACTTTTAAATTTATCTTTTGAATTTAAAAGACAAGCTTTTTTTCATAATATAATTTTATACTATTTTCATTGCAAATGTCTTTTTGCTTATAATGAATTTAATGAGCTTCACTGGGCAGGCCTGGGAATTAACCACTGTAATAACATTTCTGTGGGAAAATGTGTTTCAAGTTTCAAACACTTGATTTAAATGTAAACTTTTGGAAAACAGCTAATTTTCAACTTGGAAAATGTATTAATGAGCTTTTTGTTTACAAAAGGAATAGATTGCCCCTGAGCATATTAAACATAACACAAGTATTTTAGTATATTCTGCTACCAAGACAGGTTAACATAAGAATCAGATTTATGTGGAAGGAAGGCAAAACAGTCATATTTATTTAAAGGGACCATCAAACCTCAGAGGGGATGTAGGAGAGGGTGGGGGTAAGGGGGAGAGATAAACCAAAGGACTTGTATGTATGCATATAAGCCTAACCAATGGACACAGACATCAAGGGGGTGAGGGCATGAGTGGGAGTGGGGGCGGGAGGGGCAATGGGATAAGGACACATATGTAATACCTTAATAAAGAAAAAAAAATAAAGGGACTGAAACTTCCAACATACTGGTGGCTTGTTTTTAGAAGTGCTTAAGCAGAACGACCTTTTATAATAATTTGTAAAGATTATTTTGTGATTTAGATTTTAAAAAATAAACTAATTTTTTAGAAGTTTTAGATGTATAAAAAAATGAGAAGATCCTATAGAGTTCCTTCATACCTCACACTGTTTCCCGTTTAACATCTTACATCTTACATGGTACATTTGTTATAACTGACAAGCCAATAGTGATACATTAGGTTTCTTTAGTTATTCCCTAATATCCTCTGTTTCAGGATCCCATCCAGGACATCATGTTACATTTAGTAGTCATGTGACGGACCGTTCCTAAACTTTCCTTGCTTTTGCTGACCTGACAGTTTTGAGGAGCA